TTTTTTGATGCTTTTAAAGTTTTTTTTGATGCTTATAGAGTTTTTTAACCCCTATCCCTCTTCAAAAGCATGAGATCCATGTATAAACCATCTCTTCACATTTCTTAGCCATCATTCTGAATGATCCGACTCCCGGTTAGGGGTGGAGAATCCCAATCTGTCTCGGTACAGCAAGCTTCCGATGCCGGACCTAAGCAATGGATGAAGAACGACTGTTCAAGCCCAGCTTCCAGAGCCGGTCGAAAGGGCCTTCTTTGACGCTCTCTTCTGGCTCCGGGTTCATGGCCTGTCACGGCACAGCAGCAATCAGCAACTATCAGCAACCATCAACTGGTAAGTGCACATCTGCTCTGCCCGCAAACAATGTTCTCGGACGAGGGTAGGAAGGAACGGAGTTACTGTAGACTGCAAACAATCCTTTCAGCATGTATGATGCCTGCGAAGGACAATGCAGGCACAAGCATGGACACGTTGGGGACAAGATTTTCCAAAATTTATGGCTCCAGTAGTTTCAAGGTGAAGGGGACAGCGGTGCCTTCTGGTGCCCCTTGGAGTTGATGTGAACTGTGACGGCTTGCAGGTCTCAGGGCCATAAACACGTTGCGCAAGCGCACTGAAATTTAACGTCTCGGCCGAGAAGCTTTGCAATGTCCTTGTTCCGCAGAGACTACATCCAAATTTGCCCTTCTCAACGCCATTTGAACCATCCTTGGATGAGCAGGCAGTCGACGCATTCAGAAGCAAGTTTATTCTGCTTGCGTCTAGGCATCTCCAACATAGATGTAATTATGCTCCTGGTCCTTGGCACGGACACCAATGTTGACTGAGCACCAGACTTAACAGCTTGATTGGCCAAGTAGCATCGGTCAGAACGTCCGGCACACCTTGCTCAATGCCGAGTCTGGCTCGGATCTTCTTCGCCTTTTGCTTCCGCGCTCAAGTCTATGGTGCATGTGAGTAACTGGTTACGTGGGCTGCATCCAAGAAACGTGGTTGCTGCCCATCAAGTGAGTTCGTACGTTATCTGGTGTATTCATAGGTCCCTGATGGCACAGCTGGCACCAGAGTCCGTCGTGGCGTTTCTCGATGCCCTGCTCCGCCCAACCTTCCTGTAGTCTTAGCTGCCCTTCAACGGCCAAGCTCTGAATCTCTTCCTTCTTGTCTGGAAGCTCTTCCAGCTTTTCTCTCAGCAGGAACGTGAAATACGCATCTTCAGCAGCATAAGCCTGTTGCTCAGCAGTGAGTTCCGGCTGCGCCCAATTGGACCTGGCTATGCGGGTCTCTTTGCGGATTCGATATTGAAAATACTCGGCCAAGGACTTCAAGCCAGCTTCTTTCAGTCCTTTCTGTGCAGCCAGAGTCGCCAAATCCAGCAGTCCCGCTGGCTGCAGATCGAAAGACATCCGCATCTTGTGCTTGTCCGCACTGTCGTAGCCCACACAGACTTTGATGCAGGTGTCTGATGTTAACACTTCTGTGATTATGGGGGGAAGCCAATGCCCCGTCCTATGAGTTCGAATCAGCAAAGCTGTCTCGGCATCGGCGAACTGCATGAGAGCAATTGGATTGTCCGTTTCCTTCCGACCGTCGGGCGGCCACTCCACATCCCAGCCAATGGGCTGCTTCTTCTTGACCTTCCCTTCCAACCAGTCGGAGCCGGGAAACTTTTCCGTGATTTTTGGATTTATGTCTGCCAGGTCAACTACTATTGGCTGTTTCGGGAACCTGTGGAATATCACGCCTTCTTCCTCCGCCCTTCTGCTGTGAAGTCTCCGATGCATTGCCGAGAAGAGTCAAATCTAAACCCATGGGAGGTCTTTGTCCGAAGCTTTCTGCCGTCATGCAGCCATCATCTTGCATAAGAGACAAGTTTCCTGTTACACAGCCTGTGCTACCTGTTGATTAGATCGCTGTGTCGGTCTGTGGCTAGAAAATCCTTGCAAGTCCTTACGTTCCCAGCTAGAAAGTTGTGCCTGCTTGTTCAATCACTTCAACCACAGCTGAAGCTGGAGCTGCGAAAGTCGCTTTCAGACTAGCTGCTAGCGAGAAACCACGCCAAACAAGCAGATTGCGGAGTCCATGGCATCTTTTGCGCCGCACCTGTCTCGCCATACGGGATGTTGGATGAAACTTCCCTTCAGGAATTTCAACAAGCATTAGCCGCTGCTTTGACAAAGGATCGCAGAGTTTCGCGATTCCAGTCGCTGCAGCTTCTCCCTGCATGATCATGCTCCAAGAATCGTGGTGTCAAACTCTTGGAAGCTCTCCTGCTCCTGAGGCAGCAAGCTTTGGCAAAGCTTGCAGCGCTTTGCAGATAGCCTTCGCCGAGATTGCCGGCGCAGAGGCCTCTGTGCTTTCGGGATACCTGCCAAGGCCAGACAAATAAGACCGCCCTTAGACAGCAGGACAAAAAGCCTGTCGAACATGGAAGTATCATCTTCTGATTGAACTGGAGGACGAAAGGGTGGCGTGACCTCACACGCGCTTGTTGCACCCGGGGCGAAGGTCAGAAAAGAAGCCTCTTTGGCTCCCAACGCTGCGCGTCAAGAGCAGGTCCCAGTCCATGCCCTGCTGAGCACGAATGCGCCGGCTGTCTGCTTGCTACTGTAGCCGCAAGAGATGAGACCACAGCTTCATCTGTGCCCTTCGCCTTGTACCACTTGTGCTTCTTAAGATCCTCGACGCCCCTGCTACAAATGCAAAACTTGTCGGCAAGACCCTGGCAAGGTCCAGGGCTCTGGCTTGAGACATCCCAATCGCTTCGTCCGGTCTGCTGTCAGCAGCCGCCGTATGAGATCCTTGAGCAGTCTTTCTTCTGACGAAACCCTAACTGCAGACAGAGCGCCCTTGGTAGGCAGAAAAAAGTGGCCGTTTCAAGGAGTCAGGCTTGTTTCAGTGCTCTGCAAGCAGATGTCCTTCGCTTTGACATCAAAGTGGCGAGGAAAGTCGACACGACCTTGCAAGACCTGCCCATGAACAAGTCTTTGCCGTGCCTCCCAGTCTTCCTTTACAGGGCATCCTATGAGGGCAAAGGGTTAATGACAGCATACTGCGCAACTATGCGCAATTCACGAAAAAGGATGTTTTGTGTGAGCGATGGACCCGGGTCAACGTGGAACCTCCGACCTTCTTCTACTCTCAACCACATCCTGCCTTCTGGTAAATGCCAAAAGGATTCTCATCGTAGAATGGAGGATATCCTGCCGAAGCATGCGGCACGCCCCTTGTTGGCCCCTCATGGAGCTTAGGCATCTCTGATCTATCCTGCCAACATTTCGAATAAGAGGACGCCCAGGGCCCACCAGTCTACTCCCTGACCAAAAGACTCAGCACCTCTCGACACAGATTGGGATGCAGATGCCAAAGCCTTTCCATGACCTTTCGACTGGATCATCTCAGGAGCCAAGTACCTGGCACAAAGAGTCTGAACTCTTAGATTCTTTGCCTGGAGTGCCCTGCGCACTCCGGTGTCCCACACAGCGTCCAGGTTCTCTCTTCAACAACCTGCAACGTACTAGTCCTCACCCAGCTCTGCAGGCATGAGGTACAGTAGCCTTTGCAAATCCGAAGTCCGTCAACTTAATGTGCCCCTCAAAGTCGAGAAGGGCATTCCTTGCATAGCGGTATAGCGCACAGTTCAGGAGCATTGAGACGTGCCCCAACATATTCTCTACACATGCTGTGAAGGATCTCCGGCTTCAGGTCGCGGTACACCACATGCAAGCTGTGCAAGTACCTCAAGAATCTGAAAGGCATCCATGGGTGCACAGAAAGGCACAGAAAAAGGAAACAGGGAGAGCGCACCCGAAGGCGAGAACTATCTCCTTGCAAGCATCTTACAGTAGCAGGCGCATTGTGCATACATTGATCTGGAAATGCACTCAAGGCACGCCAGAGTAGAAGCGCACATGATCGTTAGGGAGGCGCCCTTCTCTGCGCAAGTACCTAGAGAAACCGACAAAACAAAACTCGCCCAAACCTGCCCACTGCCTGCTTGACGTCTCTTTCTCCTCCGAAGCCGCTGCTGGCTGGCAGGGCAGCTTGTTGAGACTCTCTGATGCATCAGAAGCAACGCTTGTCCACGACGGGAATCCTGCCGAGTTGAGATGAAGGGAGTGTAAGATGAAGGTCCACTCACCAGATAAAAGCTTGCCTGCAGTCTCGAGTGAGACCGGTGATTACGTCTTCTGTTTGGTCAGCTGGCACCCGGATGAGCAAAGATCCCTCACAATGCAAAGCTCATCTCTCTAAGCACGGATTTGCCAACACATGGTTATAAATGCCTCTTCAAACTCCAAGCGCAGAGTGCAGACGTGCCTCAACAGCCCAACCAAAAGCATTCAGCTGTGAGATGCTGTGTGGCCTGCAGCTTCTAGCCAGCCAGGTGACCCGCCAAACTCTCGGACAATCCGCGAGATGTCGCCTTGAATGTCTGTGGGGACGGGATGTCATGGGAAGCACACATTGCACTCAGCCCGCTTCTCAGAGAGAATCGCGCAGCCTGACAGGACAAACACTCTGGCAATTTTTTTTGAGTCTCACGTCGTCTCAGCGTCCGGCTCCATGTGAAGAGCCTGATTCGAGCGGGGCCAGGTCCAAGCTGAGGCTGCCAGGCCTGCTTCACAAATCTTCACAAACCATAGGCTCCAGAGCAACTTACAGCTAGACCTGACTCCTGTTGCAATGGATTTCATGCTCAGCACCGAAGAGTGGGATGGAATATGCTGGCATCTGTTCGTCATTACTTCACAGTCAATCCAGAGGCTGAGGCGTGCTGTATCTGTCTGGCATGACTGATGCGTGCTAACCATTGCACGTTTCCCCGCCTCAAAAGCACGCGCATGAACACCCAGGAGTCTCGAAAGGCCACATGAACTGGCAGGCCACTCTCCTGGCAAAGATCCACATTTTGCAACTACTGGCAAGGCAACTTGACTTGCTCCAACACCTGGAGCATCACGCTGGCAGGCATCTGCACCTCAATCTAAGATAATCCCAGGATGTGTTGCTTGCCCTGCCCGCTGGCTTGGCTCTGAGGAGCCCACGAAGTCTTCGGAAAGCTTTTCCGGGCCCGGTTTTGACCGTGCAGTGAGGCCTGCCGCTCGGCCTTACAGCTTCAAGCTGTCAGATTCCAAGCTTGGGCGGAACTGTAGGGTTCTGGCTCGGCGTCTCCTGCCTGACCGCTGGAGCAGGCCTTCAAAACACAAATGCCGTCGCGCACAACTGAGTAACAGCCCTGTCAACGTGCTTCGAGGGGCGTCCTGAAATGCATAGCAGTCCCTGTCGTCGCAGTCGCCAGCTCATCTGGAGGATTGGCTTGGTGTGACTCAACCAAATCATCCAGCCTGATGGCTAGAGCATCAATGTAATCTACCGTGTGAAGCAGCCGCGCCGCAATGCCCTGCAGCCATGACCCTGACTCTGACGACCCTGACCAGGTGTCGTTTGGCGCAGCTGTAGCTGGCTCAGGTAAATTGTTGTCTGCGCGACAATCGGGTGTCCTCTCCTTTCGAAGCTGCGTCAGAACCGAAGCTAAGAAGCCCCGAAATTCACGCAGCCCAACGCCTTTGGCGTCTTGAGTCGCTGTTGCTTCAAACACTTCAGCTATGTTTTTCAGCGTGTCCGGGGCCCTCCCTCCAAGGCTGAAGATCAGACGCTGCGTGAGTGAGTACAGTTGGGGTCGCAAGACATGAAGGTCTCCTTCCACTTGGTGTGGGTTCAAGCTTTCAGGCTGTTGACCTGTTGCATCAAGCATCATAGCCCTGCTCATGCGGTCAAGCTCTGTGAAGTCTTGCAGGAACCTGTCAATCTCGAGCATTAGATCTGGCGAGTCTGAGGCGGCATTCCCAATTTCAATCAGATCCTCATCGCTGATACCACTGCAAAGCTTCGCAGCTTCCAGAATTTGGGGGATCCTCCAGCTTGATACAATTGACGATGCCGTCACTTGGGCATGCATTCAATTTACATTATCTCGGAATGCAACTTCTCAGTCCAACCTGTCCGGAAATGGGCCATGGCTTTGACTTGACATCCCCGGTCTGGTCTTGACGGCCAAGCGATCAACAAAGGCATGTGCCATTCGGACCACAAAGGGTTATCTGATTCATCTGAGCATGCATTGCAGGGCAGGTGTTCTTAACACACAAGCTGATTTGCAACTGCCGTCATGCAATGCCATACCAAGCAGAAGACTTAGGATGCAAAAAGCAAGCGGGGCACGAAAACAGCTCGCCGCCGTTCACATATTCAAGCAACATGAAAAGCCTCCTCTCGTCCTGCGCAAGAATTTTGGAATTTCGCAGCCATGCAGAGCTAGTGAAGTGGAAAATCATGGGAGATGTTGTTGCCGAGTTGTGGCATCTCAATACTAGGCCCTAGGCAATTGGCTCATGCAAGTTGAGCTGACCGCACCCTGTATGCTTTCTGAAACCACAGAAGCACCCTCGCTCCACATGTGTAGTTTGACATGCCGCAGTGTCCTGGAAGGCGCCCAACAGGTTAACGATGAAGGGATGCTCAATCATCGACATGATTTGCTTTTCGGCCTTCACATGCTCCACCTGCAACTTCGCGCGATGCTAGCAACAAGCGGCTCGCTGCGCTTACAGCTTGCCCGCCTGCTTGAGCCGGATGACGTCACCCTTACGGAGTATCTTCAGTGCCATTGGAGTCCTGTCAGGTGCTTGGCAGCAGCTCTTGAACTGCAAAGCAGCTGCGTGAGACTTTCAGGTGCGTTGCCTCTCTTGGCTTGCCTTCATCTTGACCACTCGCACACGGCTGAAGGTGCCCTTTCCAACCTGGACAGAAGCATTCTATCAGGCAGACAAGCGGAGCAAGAACCCGTTTCACTATGGTTGCCGCCGTGTCTTTCAGCTCGAAGTCCGTAAACGCCCATGCTCGCCCCTTCGTCCAGGCCTTCAAAGGCACAAGCAGAAGCAGCAATCGGAGAGAGAGAAAGAACAGTAGGTCTTGTCTTGTCCTTGGCACTGCACCTTCAGTTGCGAGATGGGCAGCGACTTCATGGAACTGGCAACATCCTGAGGCTCACAAGGATGAAAAAAAGGTGCCTCTAATGTCCTTTGTTAGAAGGTTGAGACTCTGCCGTCCTGTGGGTCGTCATCCTTTAGCAGATACCTGACAGGCGTACATCAGCAAGAAGTGTACACGGGCACACCTGCCACAACTCAGGGCCAGGCCCCTTGGGCATGTGCTTGAGAAGTCCATGAGGGGCAGGCAGTGATGATGTGCTACAAGTGAACTTGCAGTCAGAAGATTGCTTGAAAAGTTACAAAGCGTGTCTGACTTACTGTTGGGCTTGTTGCGTGCACACACTGGAAATAGATGCCGAAGACCAAGGCTCACGGCCTTTCCGGCATGAACACACAGGCAGCACAGCACTCAGCATGCTGATAGCGGAGCAGCTAAGCCAGTTCCGAGGAAGCCTCACCTTCAACCCACGAACACCATCCCCTGTGTCCTTTCGTGGTTCACCTTCGTGCATCTAGATGCGAGCTTCCAGCATGGACAGAATCTCCGAAAAAGGGAGTGTAGGCACTGTAGGCACATGACGCATCACAGCAGGTTACATCGTTCACCGCAGAAATCACCTACCTAGGCGTTCGCAGCACTGTGCCAGCAACCATTATAAGGACGCGTACCTACTTATGATGCAGGCTTGCTCTCCTGGACGTTTCGTGCTCTGCCAGCATGTCAATAGCCAATTTGAGGCGTGTCTGCCTACATGTCAGCCATGTTCGGCATGGCTCTACTGATGAAATCTTGCAAAGACTTAACCCCCTTTCAGCGCTGCCATATCATGCAGAAAGAGTATCAATCATGAACCTGAACGTCATCGTAGCATTGCATCAATTTCAAGTAGTACCACGCCCAATTCTGATGTCTGCATCCTTCTGCCCCAGGAATATGAACGTTGCAACATAGGATGCCAGTAAACATTTGCCGAAGCGTAGCATCACTTGATATCACTTGGTCTGATTGGTTGCGGGCAACGCCAATTGTGTCACTGCTCAAGTCAGCAACGCACAACCAATTCCCCATACCTCCTGCATCTACGCCTTGATGGTTCACCGATCCACCAACAGCCCGCGGCAACCCCATTGATCGACTTGCTTCAGCACCATTTCCAGCAACGAGATGCATCCGAAGGGCAGCATCCCGTCATGACATTAACATGTTCAGGAACTATGTACAGGCAGGTCATGCTAATTTCCAGACCTGCGTCACTGCCTGAACTTGAGGTCTCAGGCCTGGTTGCCAGGAGGCACTTCCTACAGAATGCCTGCATTGCGGCATAGAGTCCTCTACACTAACTGTGCCCACACTCTGGCTTCGCCATGGGGCATCTTGGGCGTCATGTATCTTGAAAAGAAGTCCCTAAATCGAGCGGCATATACTGTAATGCAAATCGTATACCCAGGTTCATCTTGACAGGAACCATCTCACGGCGGATTTAAGACATCGGACGCCTGAATCGGAAGCATCAGTCTCTGAGATTCTGTTTGGCAGAAAGTGGCAGACAAGGCCGAGACCAGGCATGCCGCAATCTGCCCCGCCACAACCTGCAAGCCAAATTGAGAATCATGTAGTGAAGGCAAACACAAAAACCAGCGCACATCGCTGCCGCAGCTGGACCCAGCATCGGAAACTGCAGACCCACCGCCTGCAAACTTCGAAACCACACAGACGCTGAACGTTGAAGCATGTTGAAGCTGCATGACCACACTGGATGCTGACCTGTGCAACCTTGCAAAACGTTCTGCACCGTGATCTCGGCCACGGAGTCCTCACCACCAGCACGACATGACAGGAGGTGTCTGGTCCAGAAGCAGTGGAAGGACGACCCGTTTGAGAAGAAATGGAGCTGAAACATCATACTCCTAGCCTGCAGGTCGCGGGCGCAAAAATCAATGTTGCCGAAACCGCCAAACAAACCCACCATGCCAAGGCCCCCAAACCGGCCCAG